AAAAGCTGAAAATGTGAAGTAGCAAAAATGAGCTTATTCTCACAGCACATCAAAAACAGTTTTTTTTTTCAAAACACAGCAATATCAAACCAGCCTTTTATGCCATCGAAAAAGATAGTATCGACGGTATACACTTGTGAATGTATGAATTAGCAGTGAACTAGATATTAGATTGCTTAAACGTTTCTAGTTAGCGTTATATAAGAAATTTGAGGGTAACTTGAGACTGAATTAGATTGCATGCTATGATTATAATGTCTGCCACGAAGGAAATTCATTAATCTGTTGCTTGCAACCAAAGTTTTTAAGATTTGTTTTTTACATCTTTAAGAGTCGCATAGTGGGCTTATATTGTTTAAATTATATCGAACTCTGTTAATTTAATAAATTATCCTTGACCTTTGTTAATTACTTTTTAAATTAGGACTGATATGTGCTAATTACCTAATCACTTGTTCCCATCTTTTGTGTGATGATTTGAATATGACAGAACATCTCACTTTTTGGTTGCGGCATTTTTTTAAATATTTCTGTCACGGCATTAATCCATCTTCCAAAGAGTTTGTGCCTATCTAAAAGGCGGTGCAACGTAGACGAACGACTATTTACATAACAGTTCGCGGTCATTTTTTTTAATTTTTTTTAAACAGAAGCGATTGTGCTTCATTAACTATAACAATCAAATACAAGAGGTGTTAGATGGACACAATTTTTCTAGAGTTGGAGATAGTTTACGCAAGATACAAATAATTATAAATTCATATACGGCTACCACAACCAACCACCACAAACAGGAGCTTTAGAAAAAATTATCACAAAGACGGCAGACGACAGTCCAAATACCGGTACGCTGACATAAAGCCATTGATAACAAGATCATATAAATCGCATAAGCGACATAAACAGATTACCGGAGCAATATAAAATTTAACGCTGAGCAACACGAATCTCCGGTGATTGCTTTGGTGGTGGAATTTAGTTGGGGATATTTTTTTGTTACAGGTTGAAAGTTTTGTATTCCGATACTTCTGTTAAATTTAACGCGGAGCTGATTTTCTAGGGCGGCTATTCTTATGATTTCCGGTGAAGTGGTTGCGGCATTTTGATGAACAGGGGTTAGGGTTATGCTTTTCGTTTTCTATTTGTCTTCTTGTTAACTGGGCTTATTGGCTATTCTCTGCTTTTATTGGGTTGTTTGTTGTAACTTGAATGGAGATTTTCCTATCTAATGAGTTTCTATATTTTCTCGACAAAAAAAATTGTGTATATATATCTTTTAATTAATAAAACACTCATTGTCAACTAAAATATTATGAAATTATTAGTTTAATTCTTTAATTAAAACAAAACATTAATAAGAAATATGGGGCATAAATGTAATTTTACACAACCAATTTTTTTTTTCTTTCAAATGCTCACTTACATGTAATCCTAACATATCTCTAATTAAAAAATAAAAAATAAAAATCTAACACACTTTGTGTGTGCCCATATGCTAGTATATTATATAATAGTGTGCTATCGATTTACAATTGTATTTTTTTTTTAAGTATTAAGTCATACATAATAAGTCGTTGTCGGATTCTTTTTACTCTAATATCGTTTGTAATAAGAAATTTAATTCATTTGTTTTATTTATTTATTTATTTTTGAATTGCAGCAAAATAAAATTATAGACTAGTTGGTCAAGCTTACCGAAAAGATCATGTGCTGCCAAACCAGCAAGAACCAAAGTAATGGCCCTAATCCAAGGGGCGGCTGCAGCTACATATTATTAGAATCAATATATGTGTGCGCGCTCTCCTATATATATATATATATATATATATATATATAAGCGATTTGTCACCATGTGTTCAAAGATTGAGCCGTTCTATTATCCATACGGTTTTTATTAAGAATATTTGTCTCTTGTCTCATTGTTGTCCTACATTAGTTTTCAAGCAACCCAGTAGCGAGGTTAAGTATGGCATTTAGTAATTTACATCAGATGTAAATTACGATAAATTTTTCAGTACGTTACGTTACGTGTTATTCTACAATTTGAAGAATTTTTTTAAGTATATCTCGAATTGTTTAATAACATCGTACTCCGAACACACTGAAAAATATCTCATAAATTAGATCAATTAATCAGTGTAGTACTATTGTCACTTTCTGCACAAAGTCGAATCTCCTCTCGTAAAATAGAGTAGTTTAGAGCATTGCATCGTCAATGATAGAAAACTTGGCATGGCACCTTGTGAAGCCAAAGCCTTGAGCAAAGTATGTCTTTCAAAAATAAAAAGAATTCGCATACCAATCCACTTGTGAAGCTGACTAGCGACTTCCGTGGTGCAGATGTGGTCCAAACAACACTTTGATCCTATTGTAGTTTCTTCGATTCGAAATTATGTTTCTCTATCATCACTTACATACAATCATATACATATCTACGCTTATCTGGCTCGCTCCAAATTGTAAATGTTTTCGAGTTTGAAACGTAATAATGGCGGGCCACGCCGTCCAAGCTCCACCGATGTGCTGCCTCAAAATTTCACGTACCTTACAAATTCTGGGCCACGACAAAATAGAGGGAACATTTATCCCATAAAGAATAGGACATGATTAAATGTAACAACGACATGCAACATTATTTTTCATTATCTAGAAATGTCATGCGAATGGACTTAGATTGTCTGTCCTCCCCATCCTATACCCTTCCTATCCTCTCATATTTAAGTGGTCACGGTTAAGCCACGTCAACATTTTATATTCTCATTGCTTTTTGTTTTATTATTTCTATAAAAAAATCAATATAAAATGTTGACATGATTTAACCGTCTCCACATAAATAGGTGGGGATGAGAAGGGGATAGGATGGGGGAGGGTAGACAATCAAGTCCCCATGCGAATTGCGATTAGGACATAATTAAACTAATGGGGCTCCATTACAAGGACGAAGCTAGATATTTGTAAGAATGGGACATCCTCAAACAACAAGGTACAATTAAAAAAACTCAAGAATTTACTGCACAAAACACTTATATATTAATCCATAAAGTTTTTCATACAACATCTTACAATATTCCTCAATGTGTTTTCATGTGCTTGAAAGCGGTGCATGACAACATCATTACCAAATATCATCAAATATATCTCTCTATAAAAATAATCATGTTATCAGTCATCCATTGATCTCCCATTCAATTTCTCAATCGATTCTTCAGAAATTTTATGGCAAAAAATGCTCTTTCAACAGTGACAGTAGCAACTGAAAAAGTTAGTGCTAATGTCACAAATATATAAATTAGCGAATACATCTTATCTTTTTTCTATTTGACCATTTTTTTATAATTTAATTAGAACGAACGTTGGAATTTAAATGCAAAAGTACACATACAAGATTGAGTGGGGGCGGATGGCCCCCTTAAGCCCTATACAGCTCCGTCCTTGATTACAAATGCATTGACAAGTATTTTTTTATATTTTTCGCGCATATTTAATTCCATGATTCCATTACAGCCTTGTTAATATGCTGTTTAAGCAGAAGAAGGAGCTGGCAGCGTGCAGAGCAGTTCGAGAGTCTGCGAGTGTTTGCAGTATTTGGCTGGGTTCATATTTTTATATGAACATAACACAATTAAATCGATCGAGAGAATCAAACACATCAGAAGATAAATGATTGAAGGTTTCTTTACCAATTGCCACCTTGCAACTTGCACAAAAATGGATTTAACTAAAAACACGAGCCAAACATGATCATCTGCACTCCACCGGACTTATCATTGATCACGGTCAGCATCATAGTTTGCGAGAGATTGGTGTGCTTTTTTCTTTTTTGGTTTGAATGTTACAGTAATGACGGTGTATTCGCTAATATTACAACTTGAAATATTAACTTAACTATATAATATTGTAGATGTCGAATTTTGCTAGAGATTGTGACGAATTACAGGTCTATATACTACACAACATGTCTTAAATTTGATTTTTAGTGTTGGAAATCATAAGATGGTGGTCAGGGAAGCTTGAAACGCCTCTATGTGTTTTCTCAGCTCACATATGGATGGACTACCGTGACAAAATCACAAACTTGTCTCATTTTTAAAAGGAAAAAAAACAATTAAAAGTCACTTTGCTCGTGCACGGATAATTAACGTGAAGGATATATACAAAATTAGTTGAATCCATTTAATTTTAGGCGTTTGATTCGGCTTTAACATTAAAAATGTGCTTTTTAGACCGAATTGAATTATATTATAAGTAACTTCATTGGATGTGTGTTACCTCTATCTATATGTAAATCGAAACGACACAATCATAGTTTGAATATTACCTCCTTTTAAGTTAGTTCAAACTTCAAACTAAAGCAAACCACAACTTACAACTTTGCTATAGCTTAGTTTTTAGGAATGTGCTATCCACACATCCCATTTTACTTCTCATACACTCCTTAATAATTTATGTCCATTAATTTTCTTCATTACTTCAGATCCAACGATCGAAAATTAAAAAAATATATGAAAAATAAAATGAAATGTGTGAATAGTACATTACAATCTTTATCACCAGACCAAAATCGATTGAAACATAACCGTACCCACGTTTTAGTAACAGTTAGATACCAAAATTTTGTCAAAGAAACCAAAATTCAAAGAATAGACCCGTTGGTCTGTCTCGTGTTATCAATTGAAATACGCACAGTGTCAAGCACTGTTACACTGTTGATGATGTGATTGGTCGGTGCAGTTTTATCTCATGCAATACGCGAACACAATCGTGCCACGTGGAAAATAACCTATATTTCCCCTTATTTTCATTACCGCATTTACGTACGTCACTTTCCGTGAAAGCTAATGAAGTGCTAGAATATCATTGGTCGGCCACATGATAATAAAAATAAAATTAGAAAACATAAAATAAAATCAAAATTAATAGAGCCGTTGGGTCCCGCCACCACCCTCCCTCACTTCACCAGCTTCCAACGGGCGCTCGCCTGTGCTATATATACTCCCACTCTGTAAACCCACTCAACACCCACACCAACTCACACTCTCAGATCACAAAGATCCAACGGTCATCAGTCACCGAGAGTTCGATCTCTGCCGATCTTGTAATTAAAGCGAAAATGGAAGGCAAGGAAGAGGATGTTAAGCTGGGAGCGAACAAGTTCTCGGAGAGGCAGCCGATCGGGACGTCGGCTCAGACCCAGGATGAAGGGAAAGACTACAAAGAGCCACCGCCGGCTCCACTGTTCGAGCCCGGTGAGCTGACGTCATGGTCGTTCTACAGGGCCGGGATCGCCGAGTTCATCGCCACTTTCCTGTTTCTCTACATCACAATCTTGACGGTGATGGGCGTCGTCAAGTCCAAGTCGAAGTGCACGACGGTCGGGATTCAGGGCATCGCTTGGGCTTTTGGCGGGACCATCTTCGCCCTCGTCTACAGCACCGCCGGCATCTCCGGTAATTAATTTCCCCCCAAAAAACGCAGCCGTGTCATTAATCCGTTCTTAATTATAAGTAATTCTTGATTAACGGTGGTGGTTATTGTTTATACCTCAGGTGGTCACATAAACCCGGCGGTGACTTTCGGGCTGTTTTTGGCCAGGAAGCTGTCGCTGACCAGGGCGTTGTTCTACATAGTTATGCAGACCCTCGGAGCTATCGCCGGTGCCGCCGTCGTGAAGGGCTTCGAGAAGAGCTCCACTTTCGAGATGCTGGGCGGTGGTGCCAACTCTGTTGCCCATGGTTACACCAAGGGTCAAGGACTTGGTGCTGAGATCATCGGCACCTTTGTCCTCGTCTACACCGTTTTCTCCGCCACCGACGCTAAGCGTAGCGCCAGAGACTCCCACGTTCCGGTACGCATGTCTAGTCTTGGATCATTTGCCTAGCTGAGCTTGAACGTCCTGATTTTATTATTTTGTTGGCGTTTAATTTGGTTTGGTGATTAACTGGCTGTGAATTTTTAATGGGTTTTGATCAGATTTTGGCTCCGTTGCCAATTGGGTTCGCCGTGTTCTTGGTGCACTTGGCCACCATCCCCGTCACCGGAACTGGCATCAACCCAGCCAGGAGTCTCGGCGCTGCCATCATCTACAACAAGCGGCATGCCTGGGATGACCACGTAAGCCCTCCTGATCCCAAAACTGCTTTTATAAAATGGAAGTGCTTTCCCCACAAAAGCGCTTGGAATTATCCAATTTCAAAAACGGATTAATGGATTCTGAATTTTTGTTTCTAACTTTTGAGTATAAAATTATAATGTTGGCAGTGGATATTCTGGGTTGGACCGTTCATTGGGGCAGCACTTGCAGCTTTGTACCACGTGGTTGTGATCAGGGCCATCCCTTTCAAGTCCAAGTGATTACTGTTAATTACGTCTTAAATCGGTTTTATGATCGTCTTTCAAGGCAATCTTCGATCAAGTTTGTGTTATTTCTCATCTGTAATGCTTGTTGTTTTAAGCGTATTTTGTACGTAATTAAGGGATTAAGCTGTTAAATTTATTGTGATATGAGCAAGCAAAAGGCATGTGTGTTGATGGATATGTCTCAAGAATCAAGGGGCCCTCTGTTCCTTCTTTTTTAGGGAGAGGCCCCACCAATCCCGTCCGTCTGATGTGAGTGCTCATTTCCTTTGTATCCTGTGGCTGTGAATTTGTGTATTTTTCAATTCAGAAATAACACCAACCTTTATTTCACCCCAAAACAATTAGCAAGAAAACAAAAAAATTTGATTGTTTTTTATTCACTTGGGAATTGAATAAGAGAGAGAGAGAGAGAGAGAGGGTGAGGAGTTGTTGAAGTTAGGTAGCCACCGAGCCAACGGTGATGTGGTGGTGGCTTCTTGTAAATTGAGTTTGATGAGAAATTTTTAGTTGAGACCAGAGACACAAGTGGTACATTATGGGTTTTAATAGGAATGACGAGAAATTTTATTTTTTAAGTTATTAAATTTTTAGCACACATATCCTACCATTTGTTTAGTGTCATGGGATGATACACACTGAAAAATCTCTCGAGCTTGATTACATGTTTAATAATTCACTGGACTGGCATATACAAAACCACGTTTCATTTGCATTTACATTGCCACTTAATATTACGATTAATATTTCTTTTCATTTGTAAGTATATATAGTCTTAAGTTTGATTTTCGTTAAAAACGAAATTGAATCATATTATTATGGTTAGCCCAATATGAGGATTAGCCTACGCTACTCCCATAGCGTAGATGATGAGTATCAGAATCTCGAGTTCAATTATCACTTTGGTCTTTAAGATTGATATAACTCCTCATTTTGGTCTTTAAAATTTGAAATCAATAGAAGTGGTAAGAGTTTGTCAATCATCAATCGTTTTGATCATGGGGTGTGATATCCACACCCCATTTTACTTCTCACTCACTTTTTTAATTTTCAACCGTCGGATCGGATAAATTGAAGAAGATCAATATATATAAATTATCAAGGGGTGTGCGAGAAGTAAAATGGGGTGTGTGGACACACCCCTTGATCATTTCTTGCAAATTTTTGTTAATTAAGGTTTAAAATGATAAAAATACCTAAGTTAATAATTTGACAAAATTCATGGTATTTTTGTTATTTTGGTTATTATTTAATGGAGATTGTTTACGAAATGATCAAAATGATTGTTGGTAAACAAACTTAAAGATCATTTCTATCAGTTTCAAATATTAGAGATCAAAATAAGAAGTTATGCTAATTTTAGAGACAATTTTAGCTAAAAAACCTATTTACTATACATTTACTAATTGACCAAAGAGTAGTGTTCTCAATCTTCTCTCTTTTGTCTTAAAGTCCCGACCTTTTAATAATCTGATCCATAAATTTTGTCGTTTTAAGTAAACATGCCATAATTATTCGGAGGAACTTCAAAATATTGGAAGCTGAATTAAATTCATACGAGTGACTGAGTATTCATAATTTGATGAAATGATGTCATGGCCCTCCTTATACGGACTTATCAACAAAACATCACAGCCTGCTCCATCAAATATACCATTGGCATCAAGCATGCGCGACATATGACTTCAAATTTCACAATCGCTCAGGCAATAATTTGCTCAATTGAGCTGGACCATGGTCGCGTGGTACATGCTGGGAGATGGGTCCTGGGATCATCCAATTGATGAAAGGTGAAAGCCAACATTTGTTGATTAGACGCATCGAGCAGGTTATAAAAAGAAAAAGTACTTGGATTGTCTGTCCCCTCATCTCATGCTCTTCTCACACCTTTCTATATTTTGTGATCACGATTAAGCCATATCAACATTTTATATTGATTTTTTTATAAAAATATTAAGACAAAAAGTAAAGAAAATATAAAATGTTGACGTGGCTTAATCATGACCATATAAATAAGAAGACATGGAGAGGATATGGGATGTGAATGACAGACAATCCAAGTCCAAAGAAAAATTGCTATGTATAAAGAGCTATTCGTTCTCATATTATTTCATTATAGTATTATACCCATATTATATATAATGAGTATGAGTAAGGTCTAAAATATCGATGATATCGGAAATATCGGTAGTCCAAAAACACGGAAATTTCGATGGAAATATCGGGATATTATCGATATTGATAAAAATTGAATAAAAACCACGGAAATTGTAAGAAAAACTTGGAAATTTTTATTGAAACTTTGTAGGATGTTTATTTAGTCAATTATCTATTAGTTTATCACTGAAAATTGGAAGGAAATGTATTGCATGATGGATTTAACTGATTTAAGTTGATTATATAGCGAGTTGCAAAACATTGTGAGTGTAGACAATATGTAATAATTAATGAAAGAAGTTTAAACAAACCATAATCATTTATGTATAATGAATTAGTACAATATTTTACACTTTATACATTGCATGGTAAGATACATGAGTGACTTAGTACCACATAGAGTTTCTATCAAGATCTAAAATATTGATGATATCGGAAATATCAGTGTCCAAAAACACGGAAATTTTGATGGAAATATTGGGATAATATTGATATTTTAGACCTTGAATATGAGTCATTGAGACATCACTTCTAGTTTTCTTGGTAGCAAATAGTGTCTCTTTTGGTGACATAGTTTTGGCTATGTTTAGTTTTTAGTACTCAATCACGTATGTTTTGCTGATCTCTCATTTCAATCTTTCCAGAATATGCATTCTCTAAATTTTTTGTTTTCTCTAACATTTTCTCTATCGTTGATTTGTTGGACTTCGGTATGATTTGCCCATTTCTTTTTGGCCAACTTTGTCTGATGACGACTCCTAAGCCCTATTACGCGATTCTTTTCCACTATTATATGCAGTTGGATAATTGGAGATTGACTATTTCCCAGATCTTCCCCTTGTTTTACAAGTTCTTTGTGGCTAGATGTGGAGGATTCCATGACAACGCGACTTCGATTTGTGATGATTGTTATTAGACCTGTAAACGGGTCGGGTTTATTGGGTTTGGGTTGGGTTCAACCCGACCCGTTAAGTTAACGGGTCACCCGACCCCGACCAGTTAAGCTAACGGGTCACCCGAACCTGACCTGTTTCACCCGTTAACAATTATTATTATTATTATTTTTTGCATAAAGTTTATTTTTTGTTATTAAGACTTTACTAAAATTACTAAAATATCCTCAAATATCGGGTGCTAACGGGTCATAACGGGTCTAACGGGTTGACCCAAAGTGACCCGTTATTTAACGGGTTCACCCGTTAGCGACCCGACCCGTTAAGCATCCACCCAAATACAAATATTAACGGGTTGGGTCGGGTCGGGTTAATGGATTGGGTCCAAAATGCCAGGCCTAATTGTTATGATTTAGGGTTATGGATTCATTTTGGGTTTTGGTTGTTTTGGGCTATGTGAGCTCGGTTGTGAGCTATGCTAGATTTTGCTGTTAATTGACTTTTTTTAGTTGTTAGTTTAGTCTTTTGGAGTTGTTGTTTTTATAGTTATGTAGAAATTCGTGGTTTGTATACATATTTGACACACGGTTAAAGTTATTTTAGTGAATATCGTTATTTCTTACAAAAATTGGAAGTGATAAGTTTTTTTTTTTTTTTTTTTGAACAAACGATATCTTCTTTAAGGAGGTGGGGGGAGAGGCTAAGCCTCATCATGAGTTAAAATGTAGAAGTTAGCTCCACTTCTTCCCTTTAACATACCTTAAATGATGTTAGCAATCAAAACTAATCCAATAATATGAGATTTGGTAGGGAAATTATTTAAAGATAACTAAAAAAAAAAAAAAAAAAAAAAAAAAAAAGAAAGGATTTGTGCCAGATTTACTTGAGCTAGAACCTATTTGGGCCAAGCTAGGCCCATTAGATCACTTTGATCCATTACATTTATTGTGACCATTGGGCTTTTTATTGTGGCACAAAGTAAAACTAAAAGTAAATTCCAATATTCTCCTCTCTCTCTCTCTCTCTCTCCCCCCCAAAACCCTAGTGGTCGTGCCATCCACCGTGCTCTTTGTCGCTTGCACTCTCTTTAGCCCTAAAGCGAAAACCAGATCCATCGGCGGTGAGAGAGAATGGCGGCGATCGAGCACACTGTGCTGCAGTTCTCCACGTCTCCGTCGTTGAGCTTGTCGGCGAAGGTTCATCCTCTCGTCATATTCAACATCTGCGATTGCTACGTTAGGCGTCCCGACCAGTCCGAGCGCGTCATCGGCACGCTCCTCGGCTCCGTCCTGCCTGATGGCACTGTCGACATCAGAAACTCCTACGCTGTTCCTCATGTGAGCGCCGAGCAGGTCCGTCTTCAGTGATTTGGGTTTTTCCCCCTTTTTGGTTGATGAGAAAATTGTGGTTAAATGGGGAAAATTGCGATAGAATTTTAGTGATATTTTTTCCGGTGTCAAATTTGCAGGTAGCTCTAGATATTGAGTACCATCACAATATGTTGATATCCCACCAGAAGGTGAATCCGAAGGAAGTCATTGTTGGATGGTAAATGTCGCTATCTTTTCTTTTGTTTTTAGATTTCTTAGTTTTATCGTGCAACTTTTTCATGCAGTGTTTATTGGCGAATTCGAATTATTTCGTGTTTAATAATGATATTCATTCTGGTGGAATGTTGCTTCGTCTCTGTAATTTAAGTTTAATTCGGTGCGGAACCTGTAACTAGTGCCTGAGCTTGGTAGCCAAATATATAAAGCCTTCTAGGTTGTCCAATGGGGTTCTACTTTAACTAGTGCGTAAGCTTGATAGCCAAATACGAATTCATAAAAGGAATGGGGAACATTCTCGTATGTCATTGGGCACGTTAGAACGCGAACTCAGTGCTCCCCATTGATAGTTTCGCGAATTTCCAAGTTCATGCCAGTGTATTTTAAACATATAACTAATAGAGATTTGTAAGCTTTCAAGTTGATTGGAATGCTTATTGTTGTGCCTTCATAATTGCTTGTAGGTATTCAACTGGTCTTGGAGTTACTGGTGGTAGCGCATTGTTCCATGAATTCTATTCTAGAGAAGCTCCCAACCCAGTTCATTTGACTGTTGATACTGGATTCGTTAATGGAGAGGGTACCATAAAAGCTTATGTTTCGGTGAATTTGTCTCTTGGAGATCATCAACTTGCAGCTCAGTTTCAAGAAATTCCTCTTGATCGTCGCATGGTTGAAGCTGAGCGAGTTGGATGTAAGTTTAACACTCTCAGCTTTTAGTGTTTGTGGTATCATATTTGGGCCATATTGGTTCTCATACTCGCAACATATTCATGGGATCTTCCCTCTATAGTTTTCTGACTTGACGGAACAGAAGTAACTCGTGCGCTAAGTTTTGGAAGGAACTAGTCATTCTGAGTAGTAGAATAAGTGAATTACAAATTTTAACAAATATTGGGGGTTCTACTCGTCCGTAAGGAATAGTTTGTTTATGGTCTCAGTGGTCCAATGGCCTATAGCCAAAAATATTCGCTTTATGATGTTACCATTTCCATGAAATGGAATTTGCTCTCTGTTAGTCGAGCATTGCATTTTTGGAGCAGTTATTCTCTATTAGCACACAAGTGTATATACCATTTTTCACGCACGCACTCACTGGGTCATATTTCCCTTCTGTTGGATGGTATATCTGGATATGGCCACTGAGGTGCATTGAGATGCTTACAACACCTCATGCTCAAGAATCTATACTTGATGTAACAAATCAAATACACGACCTTTTTATTGTGATGTATGTGCGTTGTGTATATAATAATGCGCACGAGTATCATTTGTTATAGCTCACAATGCTGATGGAATTTGGGGTTTTGTCTAAAAAGGATGCTACTGAGCTGCTTTTTTCATTTAAGTTTGTTTCATAGTGCCACTTATATGCTTTTATTCAGTATATTGGTCGAACTCATTGCTTCCTACTAATTTTTGGATATGATTGTTTGAGGATTGTTTGAGATTAATGCATGGTGCATATCTGATTCGAAATCATATACTTTTCCATGATGGCAGATGATATTTTAAAGACCCCAATGGTTGACAAACTCCCAACTGATCTGGAAGGAATGGAAGCCTCAATGGAGCGACTTCTAGCTTTAATTGATGATGTTTACAAATATGTTGACAATGTTGTGGTGAGTAAGGAGGCTTAAACTTTTTAAGTTTCTTTCCTTTTTTGTCCCCTAAGTATAATGATGGATCATGTTTTCAGGAAGGCCGTGCTGAACAAGATAACACAATAGGGAGATTTCTTTTTGATACAATTGCATCTCTTCCTAAACTGTCTCCCTCAGCTTTTGATAAGCTTATCAATGACAGCCTACAGGTACTATATATTTTGGTTCATATTGTTGTAGGATACAGTTTAGGATATTTATTTACTTTATTTATCTATTATCACCGGCGTTCACAGCTTCTTGTTGTCGGTTATAAGATAATCATGCAAAATGGTTCTTCAACATGTTCTCAATGGTCCGGTTACTAATTTTACTACTAGGTTATCAGTTTTGCGAGCGTTTCATCGACCATAAACTTGTACTTTTGTTTTGTTGCTTGCAGGACAACTTGCTCTTACTGTATTTGTCAAGCATAACAAGGACACAGCTCACCCTAGCCGAAAAATTGAACACGGCTGCTCAGGTTCTGTAATGCCTTCGCTTACAGAATCATGAAATTCTACCTTTGAAAGTAATGTGTTAAGGATATATGACCTCCTGTGAGAACGGGGTCTTTGTTTGCAGAGAAGGGTGTAATATTTTTTTCCATTGAAAATATAGGTAGGATTGTTCAATCTTTTTGCTACCGCCTTAACTGATGGCGAGAAACACGATCATTTTTGGAGCTAATTGTATGGTTCGTACCCTGTTTCTGTACCGTTTTGGGAAGCTTCGACGTTGTAGTTTATTTTATCATACCCAAAATAGGATGTTCCCTAATTCCTAATAAGCAATCCTACTTTCTTGACTGGCTCATATCTAATATTCAACACTTTGTAAATTTCTTCTCCTTCGCTGGTAAATCTGGGAGACTAGAAATAATTTTGGCATTCCTAATTTTCTTCGAGAGGCCAAGTTTCTTGACGATGCCATTTGCTGACTTGGGGCATAGTTTGGCTGCAGATTGTATTTGGGTCCGTGATAGTTTCCCAATGAGGAAGGAGCCTGTAGGTCAACTTGGTTCAAGAACGGACCTAGGCTCCAGCCTTTGAGAGATTTTTCAGTTTGATCGAAATACGAAACAATACGTCACATGTCATTATAATTGGAGTGTAGGTTTTTTTTTTTCAAGTGTCCTTTTAATTGTATAGTGACACTTTGTGTACCACCTAAAGCGATATTCAAAATGTAGCCGTTAGTGTATATTTTGTTTTAAATTCCCAGCTAGCACGTTCCTGAAGTCCCACCCTTCCCCCATCCCTTCCCCCATCCCATTGCCTTGATTTACACATATTCACCCAATCCCCAATTCCCTAATTTTCAAAACCCTAAAATTCTAATCTAAATTCCCCAATTCACACAAAGTTTTGTTGGTATTCTAATCTAATCTCAATTAAATTATATTAGATATTGATGGAGGTTTATAATCAATTATTTGATATGATTATTGATATGTTTTATGTTTGTATACTCATGTGATTATTGGAATTTAGATGGAATTTTTGTGTTTTTTTGTAATCAATTGCGTAATGTAGAAATAAGAAACATGGGAAGATTTTTCACCAAAGCCAATAGCACCCTCTATTTGAATAATCTTGAAAGAGAGGCCCGAGAATAGAACTCCAACGTTATAATTAAACTTTTCAATGTTATTTTTGTCTATTATTTTTTTGACCTTTATTGGGATCCTCCAAGTTTAAAATTCTAGATCTGCTACTGCTCACAGCTAACCCGGAACCAGCAAGAACATAATTCCAATGTCGGCGAAGTAGGACATGAATTCAGAATTAAGGAAGGAGGCAGGGCAAAGCATCGCGCCGAACCCAAGTATTTGGTTTTGCACACCTTCAACTGAATGAGCGACAATCCGATCTCGTGACAGGCAGCGTACACAAGAGCTCAGTCGAACTTCTCAATTAAAAACATGCAAAATGGCGGCAAAAGAGAGTCTTGAGGGTTGCATCTGTATTATGGGTTAGGGAATTGAGGTTCATTTAGAGCTATTAGAAATCTGGTGCACAATAGCAAGAAGTAGGCTGAAACTAGACAATAACCAAAAGTGGAAAAATCAAGTTCCGAATTGAAATGTTGCTCAAGCCCACAACCTTTGTGCAGAGATGGAGCAGGCCACCGTCTTTGAAGAGATAAGGCCTCTATCATCGTGTGAGAGATGGATTAAAAAACAACCAGTAGGAGCGAAAAAAAGGGAAAGGAGAAGGGGTGAGAAATGGAAGAGAAATTAGAGAATAACCAAAAGTGAGGAAATCAAGTTACCAAATGAAATGTTGCTCAAGCTGACAACCATCGACAATAGGGGATTGAGGTGCACTACCATTTGAGCAGAGATGGGGCAGGCCACCATCTTTGGAGAGATGGGGCACTCTACCATCGTGCGAGAGATGGATAAAAAAACAGCCAGTAAGAGGGGAAAAATCGAAAGAGAGAGGTTGAGAAAACATGAGAGAAATGGGGAGGGGTACATGCTAAGTAAGGGAAAGAAAGGGGGAGGAAATCGAGGCACGTGAAAGGGAGGGGAAGGAATTGAGGCACGTGGAAGGGATGATGGAATCGCAGGGAGAAGGGAAAGAGAAGGAGGAGTCGCAGGACAGAGTGGGGAGAGAGGGAAGACGCAGAGGGTGGGAACGAGATAGGAAGAGGGGAGAGGGCTAGAAAAAGGTTACCCATAACCGTTTATGTTCATACCCGCATAATCGTTTACTCGTTGGGTAATTACATAAATGGTTATACCCATAACCATAACCGTTTATAAACGGTTATACATACCCATAACCGTGTACCCATTTAACCATAGCCATTTACCCATTTAATCATAACCATAACCATTTACCCGTTTACTCGTTTCGCCCGTTTATCCTTTTTTACCCATTTACCTTTTTTTCGCCCGTCTACATTATTTTTTTTAACAATTTGAAAATTACAAAAGAAAAATTTGTCATAATTTTCATTTTCTGACAATTAAACACCGTTATAAGTACATTTTAGCATACATTTCCCTATTTTAATCATTTAAGTCCTTATATAATTCTAATAATTGAAATAATAGTTTACGAAAGATATTTTTCTACTACACCCAAACAAGTCTTTAATTATAATCCATATGATTAAAAAGCAAAGCTTCTAAAAACAAAAAGTAGTCATTATCTTGAATACTAGATTTCAAAGCTCCAAAATATTCCAAAACTAAACACTTTCGAACACGTTCAATCACAAAGTATCATCGACTCGTTGTCACCAAAAGAGGTCTACAAAAGAAATGTATAATTGGATTAGTATGCATAAATTGAATGAGTATCACCAATAACTCCAAAGTAAAAAACAAAAATAAAGATTAGTTTTTACCACATTCACATCAGTATCATCACCGAATGAAGAACCTTCAACACGAGTAGAGTTTGAATCTGGTTTAATAGTAAAAATTAAATTTAGGCTAAAATAGTAAATTTTTGAACATATACGTAATTTATATGAAATTTTACAGTAAGTACCTCGCATCTGACCCTACAACCAGTCTCGAGAACACATGTACTAAGGGCCTCACCACCGCCATGAATGCGTCCACCATCTGAAAAATAAGCAAAGACATTTCCGTAAGTCCTAAGTCATAACCGGGGTTTCATAAACTCATGTTTGCTTTCCAAAATCACGCAGCACGCAGAGACAAATAACAACTTACAGGACGGCCAATCATCTAAAAATGCTAGAAAAGCTTACCTCATCAGTCACTGCAGCCCTAGCCCTACGATGTCTTTCTACCATTCTGTCAAAACTTCAACAAGCAGTTGCTTCACTTCACCTGTTAGCATGCACCCGGAACCATACTCCTAATAGCACCCCAGGTGAATTAGCAAAAAGAGGATGTATAATATGTTGACATAGAAAACAGATAAATTCACTGGGGCGATGAGTCTCACCTTCCGTATCTCTTCGAGTTTATCATCGTAGTCTAGGCAAAAGATTAGATATTTGAATGAAATATCTACCTGAAAGTTTCCAGAAGATAAATTAATTCCTCAATAAGTTACAAGGCACCAAACCAAGTACTAACAAAGAAATCTCATAAGATATGAAATCAAATTGGCGTGAATTGTAGACTGATAAGCAAATTTGCCTTCTTGTTTGGACAATCTATAATGAGGAAAGAAGGTAGCACATCCAGCAACAAATAACACTCTGATGCCAATCGGGGAGGGCACATTTCTATTACTAACATGTGAGACAATCCAAATACCTCAAGATTTGCTCCAAGCTCTCTATGTTTCTCTACTGAATCTTGTCCACCAGAAAATGCATACCTGTTGATCTGCGTATACACACAAGTTCTTTGTTTTAGGTTAATCTTGAAGAATTTTTGGACCATTTGGATTGTGATTTTCAGCTAGAAGAATGGGACACTGAGACTAAAGATCTAAAGATCTAAAGATCTTTGTTTTAGGTTAATCTTTAAGACTTTTTTAAGATCTAAAGATCTTCAAATAATTCATACGAAACGAGTTCCTACTGAAACAAATACAGATAATCAATTCACAAATTATATTGCGGGTGGAAATAGTGTACATATAACGAACGAGATGCAGACATCAAAAAGAATTTTCTTTTTTTTTTCTATTTTTTCCTCTTTGGGGAAATACTCTAGTGTTTTTAGGGAGTGTCCACACACCATATACTAACTAATGGTTTGAGAGTGTCTCTATACAAGTAAAGACCGGTAGGATTTTCTATTTTTTCCTCTTTGGGGAAATACTCTAGTGTTTTTAGGCTACTTGATAAGACATGAAAAATGCTTATATGTCATGTAAGAGAATGAGGACGGATGCATACAAACATCACCACCACGGAACAACGAAGAAATGTTTAAGCGGGAAAAAAAATGAAGATATAGAGTTCAGAATATAAAAGAAAAACAGGAAAGCAATTGAACAAAAGAACACTATACTGTCATAAAACCCAAGGTCAATATACTATTTGGGTTATACTTTGTGATAGATGCAAGTTGCAACAGAGGAAAATATACAGTATTTCCTGGTACACAAGGATGACGAGAGTAAGGGGAAAATGAAAGATAATGTATGAAAATAAAAGCAGCTCAAAATCGTTTCTAGTTCCCATTTTATGTGCGCTCTCTACACATTTCTTCCAACTGCTTCTCATCACCCTTTTTTTCCCCTTCTTCGCTCCCCCTTTCTCTCGTATATTTCCCCTCTCTTTCTAACAAGGAAATACGTATCAAAACTAGAAACGAAAAAGGTTACCAAACGGTCTTCCTATATTAACTTGAGGGTACACGGACTAACGGTCACATAGCAACCATCAGGTGAATCACGTCGAATCACCAAGGTTTGGAACAAGATGAGAGTACATCTAAACTAAAAATCTCTCCAGAAATTGAATTACTCCAGACATCTAAACTAAAAATCAACCAACATTTTAAATAAAATCAAGAATAATGCAAATTTTTAATAAAAGCAAGAACAATGCAAATTTTTAATAAAATCAAGAACAATGCAAATTTTTAATAGAATCAAGAACAATGCCTAATCAATACTAGATTTCACAAACCCTAATTTAAATTTCACAAACCCTAAATCTCAAACCCTAAATTAATTCCAAAATTTACCTGATGTGGGTATGGCCGGATTCTGAGGTGAGGAGGTTGTCTGAGGTGAGGTTGAGGAGGGTGGTGAGGTTGTCTGAGCGAGGTCGCTGAGGTGTGGTCGAGTCGAAGTCGAGAGGCGCAGAGAGAGAGAGTGACGGAGAGAGAGAGCGACATAGATAAAGAGTGACGGAGAGAGAATCTGAGGTGAGGTCGAGGAGGGTGGTGAGGTTGTCTGAGCGAGGTCACCGAGGTGTGGTCGAGTCAAAGTCGAGAGGCATAGAGAGAGAGCGACGGAGAGAGAGAGCGATGAAGTTGAGAGGCGGAGAGAGAGAGTGACGGAGTTGTAACTTATTCTCTGAGGATTTTTAATTTTTTTTTAATTTGACATATATTAAATTAAATGGGTAAATGGATACCCGTTATAACAGCGAATATTACCCATAACCGATGGATACCCGTTATAACCGCGGATAATGCCCATAATCGCCCATTTAAATTTCATAGATAAACGGTTATACCCATAACCGTTTATTTGTCTAAATGGTTACCCATAACCATAACCGTCAACTTTAAATGGGCGGGTAACCGCGGTTACCCATACCCATGGGTATTTTGCCCACCCCTACTAGGAGGCTTTCAGATCTAGGATTGTTTTGGGAAAGAGAAGGTGGTTAGAGTGAGCTGAGTTATGAATGAATATTTTTGCGATGGGTAAATATAACACATCCTCATACAATTTGTTTATACCATACTTAGGGCCTCCGTATTTAGATCTCGTACAAATACTCGGAGGACTTAAATGTAATTATGTAATAAAGAAAGGGGCAAATATGTAATAAGTAAGGAGCCCATATTCTATAAAAGGACTCCTCACCCTCACAATTAGGATAGACTAATTCCTAGGCCGTCAGAAGCCTCACTATCTCCTTCAGAGGCTCTGACTCTCTTTTCCTCACAATACTCTCAGAAATACAATATCAGTGTGGACGTAACCCAAACCTTGGGGTGAACCATGATACATCTTGTGTTATTTACTTTCTTGCATGATTCACGGTCGGATTTACGTTGTTCCAAGACCTTCGGTTTTATGCATCAACATTTGGCGCCGTCTGTGGGAATCGACATGAAAAGTTACGTCGGTTCTCTTTCATTTTTTCACCTCCACCGTGAATCTGCAAAATCACAAAAACCCAGAAACAAAAAAGATCCAAATCTTTCTTTTTTTTTCTTTCTCTCTCTAGCTTTTCTCTCATTTCTCTCTCTAGAGAGCTCTTTCTGTCTCTGAGCTGAGAGAATCCCAAAACTCACCGACTGCAAAAAGTAACAAAAATGGGTTAGTTCTGTTGTTGCTAAGTAAGACCCATTTGACCCACTCTGGCCAAAACTCACCTCAGTCTCCGCATCTTCAACAAGTAAGACCCACTGCTGTAACAAATTTGTAGGCCGAAAGCCATCGATCCATGGTTTCTTCTCTATCTCTCTCCTTTCTCTTCATCTCTGTTATTCGTGACCTGACTCAGTTCACGGGTTTTGGAAAGAATCGTAGTTACCGTTGAATGGTAGGTTGTACGTGGGCCACGTCATGAATATGGCTCTGGGCCTAGAACTCCCTCGTCCTCCGTCCTTCGTCTCTTTCACAATCACAGACACAGACACAACAAAAAATGGAAGCTACGAAGCCATGGATAAACGCTTTCAGAGCAAAATCAAAGCAAGCCACGCTGTTTTGGCTCGAGGGTTTTCGAGAGGCCTGCTGCCTTCACCGCGTTCTCATCCTTTGCCACCGGTCGAGAAAGCTTATGATCAAGTAGGACAATGTTTTCTATTAAACGGTTTCATTTTCTTAGGAAGAAGACGGAAAGAGCTGTCAGAGAAACGAGGGCGACTACTGCAATCTTGATCTTGAGGTGAAGAACTGCTGGACTATCTGCAGACCCCGAGACATTTGCCAAGAACCATGAGCTTGAGATGATCCACTCCAGATGGGCCATACTTGGTGCACGGGGATGCTTTTTCCCAGAAATCTTGTCAAAGAATGAGGTCAAACTCGGCGAGGCAGTCTGGTTCAAGGCTGGATCTCAAACCTTCTTCGAGGGCGGCCTTGACTACTTTGGCAACCCAAACCTTATCCATGCTTAGAGCATCTTGGTTATCTGGGATGTCCAGATTGTGCTCATGGGATTCATTGAGGGATACATAGTTGGTGGATGACCACTCGTTGAAGGACTTGACCCACTTTACCCAGGAGGTGCCTTTGATCCACTCGGCAGTGGGAAACCCGACGGCATGGCATGGCAAAAAAGGACTGGCTATCTTTGGTTGCTATTCATAGTGATGCCTGGCAGCTGTCACTTTCGAGGAAAGCAGTGGGAACAGAAAAGCAAAAAGAAAAAGGAAAAAAAGAAGTGAGAATGATGGGCACGACCAAAGCAAGTGGGTTTGCAAGCAAAAGATACCTTACAAAACAAGGTGGACAGAGAAAGAGCGGGGAGATCAAGAAAAGCATCAAGAAAAGCAAATACAAAAGCAGAAAAGAAAAGAGAAAGCAAAACAGAAAGCAAAAGTAAGGAACAAACACCACACCAGAATGATGTGATTTACCTTTCTTGTTTTTGTATGATGTGATTTATTTTTCTTATCTTTCGAAGACATCTGTATAAACCCCATCAGAGGGTAATAAAAAAAAGGGCAAAGCCCAAAATAAATGGGCTGGATTGTTGTGTGGAGGGTGAAGGCCCATAAGCCCAAAATAGCACCAACCAGGTGATCAAAAATACGTCCAGTACTACAAAAAAATTATTCGGCAGCCTGCCACTATTATCACCCACTAGGTGATCAAAAGTACGCCCAATACTCCAAAATTATTCGGTAACCTGCCGCTATTATCACCAACCAGGTGATCAAAAGTATGCCCAGTACTCCAAAATTATTTGACAACCTACCGTTATTATCACCCACTAGGTGATCAAAAGTACGCCAAATACTTCAAATTATACATGAGCATTATTACATATCAATCATATATAAACATTCATGAGCATCACTCATGTCAATCAACATAAACATTCATAAGTATCACTCATGTCAATCAGCTCCAAAAGCTTCATTTACATAGCTCTAGCTTCAAAAGCTTCAGCTACAAAAGCTTCATTTACAGAGCTGTAGTTTCAAAAACTTCATTTACAGAGCCCTAGCTTCAAAAGCTCCATTTACAGAGCTCTAACTTCAAAAGCTTCATTTACAAAAGCTCTAGCTTCAAAAACTTCATTTACAGAGCTCTAGCTTCAAAAGCTTCATTTACAAAAGCTCCAGCTTCAAAGCTTCACTTACAAAGCTTCACCCACAAAGCTTCAGTGCAGGGTATACAAATATCG